TAAAATACTTCTCCTTGGCATTCTGGTACAGTAATTCTATTTTATTTTCAAAAAAGTTTATCAACTGTAATAACTCATGTTTTTAGCAATAGTTTGATATGCTATCCACCTCTATCATACAGGATAGAGGTAGAAAATTTTCTATCTATGAAGAGATAGAAAATTTCTTTGCTTCTATTACAAACTTTAGCATCTGGAGGCCACCTTCAGCAGCTATTCAACATTACTTTCGTGGACTGAAAGCTGCCAGGCTTTGGCTAGTTGGTTGACTGCCAAAATAAACAACTTATAAATAAATCATAAGTGGCAAATCCAGTTCAGGTGAATGTTTTTTCTTTTATGGACTAACAATCATACCTAGTGCCTAGTGGATGCTAGGCAAGCATTCTGTCACTGACTGTCCCCAGTCCTTTATATTATTGTCCTTTATAACTTTTGAGAGGGCTTCCCAAATTATTAAGGCTTGGCCTCAAAATTGGGCTTTTTTTTTTTTTTTTTTTAAACACAATGTAAATGTGTGGCACCATGATTATTCACAACTTCAACTTCATACTAGAAACATATGCCAAAGAGGCTTCAATATATAGGAATAACATGCTTGTACCTAAAAAGCTATCGTTTATTAGTAAATATGCAGCAAAACTAACAAAGGAAACAGAACTGTTATTAGAAAGATGTGTTTGAAGGTTTCCCTTTGCCTGGCATCTGAGAACATGGAATGATGGTATGTGCAGGCAGAGAAATGCCAAGACACTAACTACTAAGTTTACTGGGTCCACAATGTCTATACAAACAATGTGGTTTAGGTTCACAATCTGTTATCCTTCAGGGAATCTATACTCTTATAACATCACAAGCACAAAGTGCCTACATATCAGCCTCCAATGGAATCTCTTGAGGATTTTCCCTGGTAGACATTATTTCAAGCCCATCAGACATCCTAAGATTTTCCAACAAAATAAGCCATTTTACTTAGCACAGAAATGTGCTTCCCTATCTCTCATTACTCCTAGCCACAAATGAACTGCACAACCAACTCTTATGATTAAAGTGACCTGTGCTTGTTGCTCATAAAGTGGGTATGTTGGCACACACCTGTAATCCAGCACTCTTGAGGCTAAGGCAGGAGAATCAGCACAAATTGAAAGCCAGCCTGGGCTACATTGTGAGTTCAAGGCCAACATGAATTACATAGTATGACCCTGTCTCAAAAATAAATAAATAAGTAATTTGTGCTAACTCTTACAGTGTGGCAAATGAGCATAGGTGGGGAAGACTGGATTAAGGTCAAAATTTCTGCAGAAATTTTGTTTAAAAGGAAAAAAAAAATCAGCTTATATATGCTGGCTTTACAAAATGAAACACAGAAAGTTAAGACTTGACCAAATCATGGTAGATACATGCGGAACATCGAATGACAAAACACAAAGAGTGTAATTTTTTTGTTTCACTTTTATTTTGTTTTGCAGTACTGGGAATAAAGCCAAGGGGTTTGTACATGCTAGGCAAACACTCTATCACTGAGTCCCAATGGAGGGTAATATTTAAAATGTCAACATTCTATCTTCTACCACAACTTTACTCTAATTGAGCTCAGAAAATTCTGTCTAGGAACTTAAGTTGTATTCACCCACTTGCATTCGTCTGCACATCTCTGTCAAGCATATACTACAACTGCTGCTACCAACAACAAATAAATGCAGGTGTTATACAACACAAAGACTGATTCTAACAACTGAAACATCTC